TGCTGCTGAATTTTCACTGAAAAAGTATTATGCATTTTATCTAAGTAAATTATAAAAAATTGGAAAGCACTACCATGGAAACAGTGTGAAATCCTGATTTTATTGATGCCGGGGAGGGGGGCAGCATTTTGTCTACACATTCTCCTCAATTGAGATAATTATGGATCCAACTAATAAAATAAAAAACACATGCATATTTTAGTAAGTGAAATAAACAAAGTCCTTTACCTAAAGGTCAATGGCCACCTATTTTACACTCAGCTAATTATTATTGCTTAATATGAAATTAATCATAACTGGCTATTATTCCTTCATATCAAATTAATGCAAACTTTCTGTTACGAAAATCTCCCTGAAGGGGTAGGAAGTTTCCTTTGCTCAATTGCTTCCTTTCCTTTCCATGATTTCCTCCTTCTAAGGCAAAGCGATGCACTGTGTGTTCAGCAGCTTACTATAGGTTGCTTGTACCATCCAGTTGCTGAGAAAAGCAACAATCACACCAGTATGTGACAATGACTCATGGCCTCTGAACCAGCATGTAGCAGCTAACAGAACCACAGTCACAGCTGATGAAATGCAAATATATTCTTGTTTTTGTACAGATATTTTTTTTATTGTGTGCAATTAAATCTTCCACAAGTAAAAAACAAACAAAAAAACCCCCAAACTTTGTTTGAAAAATACTTCAGAATCACATAGGCCTAATGTGCTCTAAATAGACATTTAGGAAACAACACAGAAGGGACTTTAATTTTCTGAGAACCACACTTTCTATTTAATAGTGTCAAAACAAAGGTACTATGGAAATGCAGTGCACTATGTACCCCATCTCAGGCAGCTCCTGAAATTCATAATGTTGCCATGTTTATGGGCAATCATAAGATATTTTATTTTTTTGTGGTTGCTTTACATTTATTGCTGACTAGTAAGGTGGCCTTACAGTATAAGCAGCAGTTGAATAATTTTTTCCCCTCATCTCTTTAATTAAGCCACTAGAAACTCTCTCTCTAGCACATTTACCACACAAAACCCTTAGGATCTAATAAAAAGCAAATGTGGTCTTACCTCAAATGATATATAGTAAGCACTGTTGCTATAGGAAATTTTCTTACAAAGTCAATAGGTAACAGAAAATTGTGTACCTTATGGGATCTGGTTCCTGAATAAGTACAAGCTAATCTATTTCTACAGACAGCTCTCCATACAGTTCCAAAAAGAAAGCGTTGTTATGGTTTTATGACTGAATCAACCTTCTAAAGGAATTTCCCAGCCTTTGGTAATTGTTAAGAAATTATAACAAATCAGAAAGAAGAGGTACAAGTTAAATAGTAGCTAGTATAAACAAGTTGTGTTTTCATTCAGTGTATCCTTCATTGCCAAGAAAATTAAAGCTAGCCTTTAATAAACCTAAATTTTATTTTTTTTCACTTAAAAATTCTCATGTTCGGCTCAATTCTGACTTTGCCCAGAGTGAAAAAACAGTATTTTACTGTACTAAACTAAGAGTAGACTTTATGTGGCTCTTGGTTTCACCAGGGCTCATAAAAAGGGAGCAAACAATACAAGGTCTACAGCTTATACAGCCGAGTTCCCAGCATGACTGGGCTTTGCCCAGGCTCTCCCCCGTGCCATTTCCACCTGCACAAAATGAGGTGCAATAGCTCTAAAGAACTGTCATACTGGGTTGTGGGAACCCGGGTCAAGGACCACGTGGGGACTGAGGTGCCACCCAGAGTCAAAAGTGAGCAGAATCCAAGTACAGCCAGGTCAGAAAGCAAAGAGGTCAGTCTGAGAGGAGGGTCTAGGAACAAGCCGAGTCAGGAAGCTGAAGATCAAGCAGAGAGCAGAGTTGGAGCACAAGCCAAAGGGAACAGCAAAGCAGTCTAGGATCAGGCTGAGCCTGGATACTTCTGCTTCCAAGGTCGGGGTTTATGTAGGGCAGTGGAAGAGAAGCTGGGCTCCAGTTCCAGTGAGCTGGGGAGGGCTAGGCCCTGTTGCGGGCTTCAAGGCAGCCATGTGGAGCCTGGTGACCAGATGTAGAGTAGCAGGCTGGTATTAGCGGCCATTCTGGCCAGGCTGAGGACCCAGATTCAAGGCTGCAGCCTGACAGGAATCCTCTTTCCTCCTCATGCTGTTGCCCCTGCTGTGAGTAGCTAGTGCTGCAATATGTAGTAGAGCAGATACTCATATGCCTTCTTACTAGTCAGGTCACACTTTGGCTATGAACATACATACAAGCTGCACCCCGCTGATTGTATAACAACAAGCACACATGTTTGTTGCTACACAAACACAAGAGTTGCAGTTCTCTGAAATGCATTGTAACAGCTGTTGCTCAGCAAGATATTATCACAAGGTTAAGACTTTGTTAAAAGAAGCCCTCAATGACAAACAGATTTTCAGAAAGTAACCCTTATACGAAGAAAGGATATTTATTATTAATCATAAAATAAAATATCTCTTGCTTTCCTATGGTGAAGTATAAAGATGTTTTTACTACCAAACAGGACAACTGCTCCATGAAGGCCCTTGAAAAACTAACCAATTCAAAATTATACAGGTCTGAGATGAAGCCAAGCCAAGCAAGACCTGTATGGTATAAAACTAGTTCTTTTGGGAGACGTTGAAGTTCTTATTTATTCACACTGTGATAGCAGGCTGCATTTCAGAAATACAAAAGAACCACTTCCAGGTCACAACTTTAAGTATAAGTGGACAAGAGAAGCTACAACATTTTAAGAACTTCAGGTAGATCACACAATTAACAGAAGAAAATAGCTGACACGACTTATAGGGCCAGTTACAAGTGGAACGCAGGCACTTCACAAGAGACCGTTACCTTTATCAATCATAGCTAAATTTGGCCCTAGGGCCACAGTTTGAAATCTTATCTGTATGATAGCTAACATTATCCCACCCCCCAGCCTGCTTTAAACATGATGTTCAAAGAAGGCAGAAAAAATGTTGTTGTTTCCAAAACTTTCCAGACTCGCTTCTTAAGCAGCTGCACAAAAAAATCTGTCACAAATAACTGTCTTTGTGACTGACGGAATTGATGACATAAGCCTGCATGATGCAGAATGACGCGGAGAGAGTCAAGAGCTTACTGAAAAGGAGTAATGCAAAGTATTAGTAAATTGCAGACAAGGTTCCTTGGGTGAATTTGATATCTTTTATTAGACCAACCCAAATGGTTGGAGAATAGTTATTAAGCAAGCTTTCGGGTTCAAAAACCCTTCGTCAGGCTCAGGAAGCTGCAGCAGTTGGTGTGCGCTCTTCCTGGATGGAATGACAAGTAAACAAGCCAGGGGCTGGGCTGGGCTGGGCTGGGCAGTCAGGTGCCAGGCAGATTATAATGTATCAAAAATCCAATGTCTATGTTTAGTCCCTGATCTCTAGTATCCAGCAGGTTGATGAAATGGAGCTCATAGGCTCGTCTCTGGGATGTGTTGTGTAAATTTCCCTTGAGGATCAGGACTGAGAGATTGGAGAGAGAGTGGCCCTCCTGTGAGAAATGCGCCCCCACCGGTAATTGGGTGTTTCTGTCTTTGATGGATTTCCGGTGTGCATTCATTCTGGTGCGCAGTTGTTGTCTGGTCTCTCCTACATATCTTCCATCAGGGCATTTGGTGCATTGGATGAGGTATACTACATTCCTGGAGGTGCAGCTGTAAGATCCTGGGATGCTGATGGCTCTGTTGTGGGGTGTAGTAATAGTGGGGGTGGTGGAGATGTGGGGGCAGGTTTTGCATTTCTTGTCATGGCACGGTCTGGATCCTTTTGGTGTGTTCTGGGCTTGAGGAAGTTTGCTTCTGGTGATGAGGTTGGCGAGGTTCGGTGCTTGTCTGAAGGCTAGGATGGGTGGCTCTGGGAAGATCTTTTTAAGAATAGGGTCTTTTTCTAATATGGGTTGCAATTTTTTGAGGATTTTCTGTACAGGTTCAAGGGAGGGGTGATACGTCATAACCAGCAGTGTGCAATTTGTGGGTGTTTTTCTTCTGTACTGCAGCAGTTCTTCACGTGGTATCCAGGTGGCTCTTTCAAACGTGCGATCTACCTCTCTGAAGGAGTGTCCTTGCTGGGTGAAAGCCTTTTTAAGATTGGTGAGGTGGCAATCCCGGGTGTTCTCTTCAGTACAGATGCGGTGGTATCTGAGGGCTTGGCTGTATATCACTGCTTTTTTGGTGTGTTTCGGGTGATTGCTGGTTCTGTGCAGATATGTATGTTGGTCTGTGGGTTTCTTATATACTGTGGTCTGTATTTTACCCTTCTGGATATTGATCCTTGTGTCTAAAAAG